AGGGTTGCGAACATCATCGGTCATCGGCGCTCGCGAATGAAGAGCGCCCGCTGCACTTCCTGCACATGTGCGGATCCTTCCGCGTTTTGGGGCGGGAAGCGCTCGTTCCGAGCGTTTTTCTTCCGCCTGGTCACGTGGCTGCGCTTGTCTGGGCATATTACCAAGCTAGCAAGGGCGTGGGAGGGTTGCGAGCATCATCGGTCATCAGCGCTCACGAATGAAGAGCGCCCGATGCACTTCCTGCACATGTGCGGATCCTTCCGCGTTTTGGGGCTGGAAGCGCTCGTTCTGAGCGTTTTTCTTCCGCCTGGTCACGTGGCTGCACTTGTCTGGGCCTATTACCAAGCCAGCAAGGGCGTGGGAGGGATGCGAGCATCATCGGTCATCGGCGCTCGCGAATGAAGAGCGCCCGCTGCATTTCCTGCACATGTGCGGATCCTTCCGCGTTTTGGGGCTGGAAGCGCTCGTTCCGAGCGTTTTTCTTCCGCCGGGTCACGTGGTTGCGCTTTTCTGGGCCTATTACCAAGCCAGCAAGGGCGTAGGAGGGTTGCGAGCATCATCGGTCATCGGCGCTCGCGAATGAAGAGCGCCCGCTGCAGTTGCTACACATGTACGGATCCTTCCGCGTTTTGGGGCTGGAAGCGCTCGTTCCGAGCGTTTTTCTTCCGCCTGATCACATGGCTGCGCTTTTCTGGGTCTATTATCAAGCCAGCAAGGGCGTGGAAGAGTTGCGAGCATCATCGGTCATCGGCGCTCGCGAATGAAGAGCGCCCGCTGCACTTCCTGCACAAGTGCGGATCCTTCCGCGTTTTGGGGGTGGAAGCGCTCGTTCCGAGCGCTTTTCTTCCGCCGGGTCAGGTTGCTGCGCTTGTCTGGGCCTATTACCAAGCCAGCAAGGGCGTGGAAGGGTTGCGAGCATCATCGGTCATCGGCACTCGCGGATGAAGAGCGCCCGCTGCATTTCCTGCACATGTGCGGATCCTTCCGCGTTTTGGGGCGGGAAGCGCTCGTTACGAGCGTTTTTCTTCCGCCTGGTCACGTGGCTGCGCTTGTCTGGGCCTATTACCAAGCCAGCATGGGCGTGGGAGGTTTGCGAGCATCATCGGTCATCGGCGCTCGCGAATGAAGAGCGCCCGCTGCACTTCCTGCACATGTGCGGATCCTTCCGCGTTTTGGGGCTGGAAGCGCTCGTTCCGAGCGTTTGTCTTCCGCCTGGTCACGTGGCTGCGCTTGTCTGGGCCTATTACCAAGCCAGCAAGGGCGTGGGAGGGTTGCGAGCATCATCGGTCATCGGCGCTTGCGAATGAAGAGCGCCCGCTGCACTTCCTGCACATGTGCGGATCCTTCCGCGTTTTGGGGCTGGAAGCGCTCGTTCCGAGCGTTTTTCTTCCGCCTGGTCACGTGGTTGCGCTTGTCTGTGCCTATTCCCAAGCCAGCAAGGGCGTGGGAGGGTTGCGAGCATCATCGGTCATCGGCGCTCGCGAATGAAGAGCGCCCGCTGCACTTCCTGCACAAGTGCGGATCCTTCCGCGTTTTGGGGGTGGAAGCGCTCGTTCCGAGCGCTTTTCTTCCGCCGGGTCAGGTGGCTGCGCTTGTCTGGGCCTATTACCAAGCCAGCAAGGGCGTGGAAGGGTTGCGAGCATCATCGGTCATCGGCGCTCGCGAATGAAGAGCGCCCGCTGCACTTCCTGCACATGTGCGGATCCTTCCGAGTTTTGGGGCTGGCAGCGCTCGTTCCGAGCGTTTTTCTTCCGCCGGGTCACGTGGCTGCGCTTGTCTGGGCATATTACCAAGCCAGCAAGGGCGTGGGAGGGTTGCGAGCATCATCGGTCATCGGCGCTCGCGAATGAAGAGTGCCGCTTCACTTCCTGCACATGTGCGGATCCTTCCGCAATTTGGGGCTGGAAGCGCTCGTTTCGAGCGTTTTTCTTTCGCCTGGTCACGTGGCTGCGCTTGTCTGGGCCTATCACCAAGCCAGCAAGGGCGTGGGAGGGTTGCGAGCATCATCGGTCATCGGCGCTCGCGAATGAAGAGCGCCCGCTGCACTTCCTGCACATGTGCGCATCCTTCCGCGTTTTGGGGCTGAAAGCGCTCGTTCCGAGCGTTTTTCTTCCGCCGGGTCACGTGGTTGCGCTTGTCTGGGCCTATTACCAAGCCAGCAAGGGCGTGGGAGGGTTGCGAGCATCATCGGTCATCGGCGCTCGCGAATGAAGAGCGCCCGCTGCAGTTGCTACACATGTACGGATCCTTCCGCGTTTTGGGGCTGGAAGCGCTCGTTCCGAGCGTTTTTCTTCCGCCGGGTCACGTGGCTGCGCTTTTCTGGGTCTATTATCAAGCCAGCAAGGGCGTGGAAGAGTTGCGAGCATCATCGGTCATCGGCGCTCGCGAATGAAGAGCGCCCGCTGCACTTCCTGCACAAGTGCGGATCCTTCCGCGTTTTGGGGGTGGAAGCGCTCGTTCCGAGCGCTTTTCTTCCGCCGGGTCAGGTGGCTGCGCTTGTCTGGGCCTATTACCAAGCCAGCAAGGGCGTGGAAGGGTTGCGAGCATCATCGGTCATCGGCGCTCGCGAATGAAGAGCGCCCGCTGCACTTCCTGCACATGTGCGGATCCTTCCGAGTTTTGGGGCTGGCAGCGCTCGTTCCGAGCGTTTTTCTTCCGTCGGGTCACGTGGCTGCGCTTGTCTGGGCCTATTACCAAGCCAGCAAGGGCGTGGAAGGGTTGCGAGCATCATCGGTCATCGGCGCTCGCGAATGAGGAGCGCCCGCTGCACTTCCTGCACATGTGCGGATCCTTCCGCGTTTTGTTGGTGGAAGCGCTCGTTCCGAGCGTTTTTTCTTCTGCCGGGTCACGTGGTTGCGCTTGTCTGGCCTATTGCCAAGCCAGCAAGGGTGTGGGAGGGTTGCGAGCATCATCGGTCATCGGCGCTCGCGAATGAAGAGCGCCCGCTGCACTGCCTGCACATGTGCGGCTCCTTCCGCGCTTTGGGGGTGGAGGCGTTCGTTTCTAGCGTTGTTCTTCCGCCGCGTCACGTGGCTGTGCTTGTCTGGTCCTATTACCAAGCCAGCAAGGGCGTGGGAGGGTTGCGAGCATCATCGGTCATCGGCGCTCGCGAATGAGGAGCGCCCGCTGCACTTCCTGCACATGTGCCCATCCTTCCGCATTTTGGGGCTGGAAGCGCTCCTTTCGAGCGTTTTTCTTGCGCCGGGTCACGTGGCTGCGCTTGCTGTGCATATTACCAAGCCAGCAAGGGAGTGGGAGGGTTGCGAGCATCATCGGTCATCGGCGCTCGCGAATGAGGAGCGCCCGCTGCACTTCCTGCACATGTGCCCATCCTTCCGCGTTTTGGGGCTGGAAGCGCTCATTTCGAGCGTTTTTCTTGCGCCGGGTCACGTGGCTGCGCTTGCTGTGCATATTACCAAGCCAGCAAGGGAGTGGGACGGTTATGAGCATCATCGGTCATCGGCGCTCGCGAATCAAGAGCGCCCGCTACACTTCTTGCACATGTGCGGATCCTTCCGCGTTTTGGGGCTGGAAACGCTCGTTCCGAGCGTTTTTCTTCCACCGGGTCACGTGGCTGCGCTTGTCTTGGCCTATTACCAAGCCAGCAAGGGCGTGGGAGGGTTGCGAGCATCATCGGTCATCGGCGCTCGCGAATGAAGAGCGCCCGCTGCACTTCCTGCATATGTGCGGATCCTTCCGCGTTTTGGGGGTGAAAGCGCTCGTTCCGAGCGTTTTTCTTCCGCCGGGTCAAGTGGCTGCGCTTGTCTGGGCCTATTACCAAGCCAGCAAGGGCGTAGGAGGGCTGCGAGCATCATCGGTCATCGGCGCTCGCGAATGAAGAGCGCCCGCTGCACTTCCTGCACATGTGCGGATACTTCTGCGTTTTAGGGGTAGAAGCGCTCGTTCCGAGCGTTTTTCTTCCACCGGGTCACGTGGCTGCGCTTGTCTGGGCTTATTACCAAGCCAGCAAGAGCGTGGGAAGGTTGCGAGCATCATCGGTCATCGGCGCTCGCGAATGAAGAGCGCCCGCTGCACTTCCTGCACATATGCGGATCCTTCCCCTACGCGAGGGCGCGTGAGTGCGAGGGCACGAGAGCACGAGGGCGAGTGAGCGCGAGAGCTCGAGAGCGCGTGAGCGCATGAGTGCGTGGCGCGTGAGCGCGTGGGCGAGTGAGTGCGTGGGCGCGTGAGCGCGAGGGCGCGTGAGCGCGAGGGCGCGTGAGCGCGAGGGCGCGTGAGCGCAAGGGTGCGAGAGCATGTTTCCCATCCCCCATCCCCGATCTCCCGTTTCCCATCCCCTATCCCCGATCTCCCGTTTCCCATCCCCCATCCCCGATCTCCCGTTTCCCATCCCCCATCCCCGATCTCCCATTCTCCATCCCCGATCCCTGATCTCCCGTTTCCCATCCCCCATCCCCGATCTCCCATTTCCCATACCCCATCCTCGTTTCCCATCCCCCATCCCCGATCTCCCGTTTCCCATCCCCCATCCCCGATCTCCAGTTTCCCATCCCCCATCCTCGATCTCCCGTTTCCCATCCCCCAATCCCGATCTCCTGTTTCCAATCCCCCATCCCTGATCTGCCATTTCCCACCCCCCATCCCCTTCCCGGTCTCCCATTTCCCATCCCCCATCCCATGCCCGGTCTAACATTTCCCATCCCCCATGCCCGGTCTCTCGTTTCCAATCCACCATGCCCGATCTCCCGTTTCCATCCCTCATCCGCGATCTCCCATTTCCCATCCCTCATCCCCGATCTCCCCTTTCCCATCCTCCATCCGCGATCTCCCGTTTCCCATCCCCCATCCGCGATCTCCCGTTTCCCATCCCTCATCCGCGATCTCTTGTTTCCCATCCCCCACCGGCGATCTCCCGTTTCCCATCCCCCATCCGCGATCTCCCGTTTCCCATCCCCCATCCTGGTCTCCCGTTTCCCATCCCCCATCCCTAATCTCCCGTTTCCCATCCCCCATCCCCGAACTCCCGTTTCCAAACCCCGATGCATGATCTCCCGTTTCCCATCCCTCATCCGCGACCTCTCGTTTCCCATCCCCCATCCCTGATTTCCCGTTTCCCATCCACATTCCCGATCTCCCGTTTCTCATCCCCATCGCCGATCTCCCATTTCTCATCACGCATCCCCGGTCTCCCGTTTCCCATCCCCCATGCCCGATCTCCTGTTTCCCATCCCCCATCCCCGATCTCCCGTTTCCCATCCCCCATGCCCGATCTCCCGTTTCCCATCCCCCATGCCCGATCTCCCGTTTCCCATCCCCCATGCCCGATCTCCCGTTTCCCATCCCCTATCCGCGATCTCCCGTTTCCCATCCCCCATCCCCGAACTCCCGCTTCCCATCCCCCATCCTCGATCTCCCGTTTCCCACCCCCCATCCGTGATGTCCCGTTTCCCATCCCCTATCTCCGATCTCCTGTTTTCCATCCCCCATCCCCGATCTCCCGTTTCCCATCCCCCATCCCCGGTCTCCCGCTTCCCATCTCCCATCCCTGTTCTCCCGTTTCCCATCCCCCCTCCCTGATCTCCCGTTTCCCATCCCCCATCCTCGATCTCCCGTTTCCCATCCCCCATCCCCGATCTCCCGTTTCCCATCCCCCATCCCCGATCTCCTGTTTCCCATCCACCATCCCAATCTCCCATTTCCCATCCCGCATCCCCGATCTCTCGTTTCCCATCCCCCATCCCCCGTCTCCCTTTTCCCATCCCCCATCCCCGCTCAAGCGCCCCGGTCATGTACGTCAGTTGTACTCGTACATGTCGATGCTCTATCATACCATCGGCCGTATTAATCCACGATGCGGGGATGGTCGGACATGTTTATGGCTTCAACATGGAACGTTCGAAATTGGTTAAACGTTTTGAGAGACGTCATTTAAAAGTGGTTTTTTAGTCCTTTTCTTGTTTTTCTTTTTGCATTCGCTTGAAACGTGTGCTCCAAAAAATGCATTAAAACACTCCTGAATAATATCCTCCAAATGCGAAACCAGTTGTATAGGGCAGCGCAATTTAATAATATGATATAAGGGTGAGACCAAATCTGTAAGGTTGCTAAGCAACCAAATAAAGTTTTATATGATTAGAAGCTGCTACTGTAAGTATATATCTTGCGAGTGTATTCTTGGAACAGACGTTTAGGGCTTCGTTGAAGCTCCCAGCAAGCAGCCGCCCACCTGTGTATGCTTCGCCCTCGATCATCGTAGTTGCCCTCCCTCGATATCAGCTACTCAGGCTTCCTTTCTCGCTCTTTTGCTCACCTGAACCTACTCTCAACGCTCGAATCTTCGCAACGGGTTAGTCTCCTTGCACCCTTCACCAAGACGTAGTGCACCAGTATTGTTCAATATGGAAACGCTGGCTGAAGTGTCGCGGTCTTATAGATCCTGTAGTGTCTTTCTCTTCTCCATGTGTTTTCTCGCTTTGAAAGATTTTGAAACGGAAATGTCTTTCTTCTGCAATTGTCGCCCCACTTGCTATTTTGTTGCTTGGATCTGGCAGGTGAGGACTCGAGGACGTCATTGACAGAGTAAGCGTCCTCTGCCTTGGCGCTCTGCATACGTCGTTCATGCTCGTTCAGTCTGCGTTGTTTTCCCCTGTTGCGGTCGTTCTCCTGAATTAAGTCGATGCCGTTTCTCCCGCTTTCGCGTGCTCACAACGTCTCTGTTTCATACACCACGCGCGGCTGCTTGCAGGGAGGCAGTCGTTTAACATCTGCCGAGGACAATGTCGGACGGGTACGTTCGCTGTCGCCTCTTCTTATCTCTATCTTCACTCCTTTCACTCATGTGTGCACGTACCTGTCGCCTCACCGCTCTTCGCTATCGTATCTCTCCACACCCGTAACCAACTTTCCCCTCCCTCTCCCCCACCTCCCCCCTCCGCCGTGCCCCCGCAGAGATGAGCCCGTGGCGATCGAGGCGGAGGCCCCCGCCGTGGAGGCGGCCGTTGAGGCCCCCGCCGAGGCGATGGACACGATGACGGCGCTGCAGCGCGTGCTGAAGAAGGCGCTGGCGCACGACGGGCTGGCGCGCGGGCTGCACGAGTCCGCCAAGGCGCTGGAGAAGAGCAGCGCGCAGCTGTGCGTGCTGGCGCAGGACTGCGACCAGGAGGACTACAAGAAGCTCGTCCAGGCGCTCTGCCACGAGCACAACATCAACCTCATCCAGGTGCGCCCTGCCACGAGCACAACATCAACCTCATCCAGGTGCGCCCTGCCACGAGCACAACATCAACCTCATCCAGGTGCGCCCTGCCACGAGCACAACCTCATCCAGGTGGGTCCCCGTGCCGCGTACAACATCCAATTTCTCGCCGCTGCTGCAGCAGCTCCAATCACCGGAGAGGGCTTCTCCGTCGTGCGTTGTCAGGTGGCTAGCTATCGGCGGGCTTTGGCTCAAGGTCAAGAGGGCGAGGTGAAGGGGCAAGGTAGTGGCAGGGTTTAGGCTTCCCCGCCACGGACTGCTCATTCCAGCGAAGCTTTGTTTTTTAGTAGCAAGGGGGGTCTGCGGCCGCAGACGGTTAGCAAATAGTCAGCATACAGTCAGAACACGGCCAGCAGTTAGTCAGCAGATAGTCAGAACACGGCCAGCACTTAGTCAGCAGATAGTCAGAACACGGCCAGCAGTTAGTCAGCAGATAGTCAGAACACGGCCAGCACTTAGTCAGCAGATAGTCAGAACACGGCCAGCACTTAGTCAGCAGATAGTCAGAACACGGTCAGCACTTAGTCAGCAGAAAGTCAGAACACGGCCAGCACTTAGTCAGCAGATAGTCAGAACACGGCCAGCACTTAGTCAGCAGATAGTCAGAACACGGCCAGCACTTAGTCAGCAGATAGTCAGAACACGGCCAGCACTTAGTCAGCAGATAGTCAGAACACGGCCAGCAGTTAGTCAAAACACGGTCAGCAGTTAGTCAGTAGACAGTCATCAGCCGGTTAGCAGGCGGTTAGCAGACAGTGAGCTCTGCGTCGGATCTGCGTGCACTCTAGCTTAGGGGCACCGCGCTGGGGACAGGCTAGCAGGTGCGGGCTGACTGCTGCCATTGCCGCCTCGTGGTTCACGCAGTCTGCCGATTGCGCAGTTGCAGTGGCCCCTCTGCTCCACCATGGGCTGGTCGTGTAAAGCGGTCTCGTGAGGCGGGGTGCTGAGTTGTGCGGCGGTGCGTGGTTGTGCTTGGGTGCGTGGCAGGTGCCGAGCGCCAAGACGCTGGGCGAGTGGGCGGGGCTGTGCAAGCTGGACTCGGAGGGAAAGGCGCGCAAGGTCGTCGGCTGCGCCTGCGTCGTCGTCAAGGTCAGCAAGGGGGGCCGAGGGGAAGACGGGGGGAGAGGGGGGCTGTTACCTTTCCGGAATGGCTGCTGCGCATGGGGGTTTGTGGTGCGCATGGGGTTTGTGGTGCGCATGGGGGTTTGTGGTGCGCATGGGGTTTGTGGTGCGCATGGGGGTTTTGGTGTGCGTTGGGGCTTATAGTGTGCGTGGAAGAATGCTGGTTGGTTATGGGCATAACGTGTCGCACATACGACCGTTTAGATCTGCTGTATGTCATTATAGGTTCGGTGGGGCAATGGCGTAGCTGAGTGTCCATGAGGTTAATTTCTTGGTGAAGCGAGGGTACCCACTATCCAGAGCTTGCTTGTGCGACAGGATCTGAAAATGTCTGTGGTTGTGTGTGTGCGTGTGCGTGTGTGGCAGGACTATGGCGAGGAGACGGAGGCACTGAACGTGCTCAATGAGTACCTCAAGTCCAAGTAGGCCGCTGCTGCTCGCATGGCCATGCTGAGAGGCAGATGCACCTTGTGGCGCTGTAGAGTTGCTGTGCTGCCTCTAGTGAAGCTTCTCAGCTGCTCATGAACCACTGCCCAGTTGTTTTGGTTGCCTGTGCCCTGTCATGTAAATTTCATTAACTCACCAGCGAGCAAGCCATTGAAAGGAGGACTACCTTCGCTACATTGGCCCTAATTTGCAATGGAATGACAGGAGGTTTACGCTAGCATTCAGCATGATTTTGAAAGTACATGGGCATGTACATATTGTGTAACACCCACACTATCCTACTCTTTATACACGCTATTAAAAATGGTATTTTGTGTTGATCCTAGCCTAATCCTTGTCAACTATTGTGGCCTCCACGTCCACCACTCTGTCTGTCCCCGTCGCCCTCCATCCCTGCTTGTCTTGAGATTGCGACCCTGTGGCACGGCGCACATTAAGATTAGCAACCAAACCATGGCAGGTGGAGTGGACAAGGCACAACCCCCAAGGTGACACCGTGAATGCACAATGTAATGTGCCAGCCTTACTTGATTGGGAATTGAAGCCACGGCTGCTGGCGTCCGCTTGCTGAAACCGGCCATCTTCATCTGAGAACAACAGAAAGGTGGAGTTAGCACATGGCATGGTGGCAACTTGAAGAGGCAAAGATGGGAGAGAAAGCACACGACTGCTGCGGAGCAAGCATGTTTGATCCAAGCCAGCAAGTGGTGGGAGAGGTCAGTGAGCAGACGGAAGGGCATGAGAGGCGGGAGAGAGGAGAGGGTGGGGATGGAGGGACTGACACTTCATGGAGCGCAAGCAGGACGGGCACACTGGTGCTCCATGCGCCACCGCATTCCTGCTCATGTGGGAGGGCACCCGATGCCGTGCAGCCAACGCACACAATCACACACACACACGCGCGCGCGCACACACACACACACACACACACACACACACACACACATGAACAGTGCGGACGCGAGTGAGGGGCGCTGATTTAAACCAGCGCCATGGCAGGAGGGGAATCTGGGGAAAGAGGTGGGCGCAGGCAGTTACTAATGAAGGTTGACTCGTGGTGTTTAGTCAACTAGTGAGTGTGCAGGAGGTGCTGCTATGTAGCGCTCTCCCTGACCACCTCCCATTGCGCTGTGCCCCCGCACCCCTTTTGAGCCTGCTCGCAGCAGTGAGGGCGTGGGGCGTGCCCCGTGGGCTCACCTGTCGAACGTGAACTGGTGGTCGCACCACGGGCACTGCTCACACGGGTGGGGGGGCACCGCACAGCGCAATGGGGTGGGAGGCGGTGAGAGGTCACGCGAATTCGCATGCGAATTTCGACCAAAACGTTTGAAAAACGAAGAACTTTATTTCTGGAAGATCCGAAACATTATTATGGTGTAGCACGTTTGCAAAGCTTCAAAGGAAAACGAAGCTCCCAAGGAACCAAGCGGGAAGCGGGACGGGAAGGGAAAACGGGGGGAGAAGGGGAAGCATGAGGAGACGAGGAAGTGGGAGGGGAAGGAGAAGAGGGAGGGGAAGGGAAAGCGGGAGGGGAGGCGAGGGGGGGAAGGGGAGGCGAGGGGGGTACATTGGCGACGGCGAGCGAGGAGGTGAGCTTGCCGACGATCCACGTGGCCGTGGTGAGCGCCACGTCCAACAGGTAGAACACGAACTGCCACGCAAGCACAGACAGGCACGGGGGGGAACGGGGGGTGGGGGGTTGATGAGGGGGGGGATGGGGGAAGGACAAGGACCGTTTCGAGAAGGAGGGGAGGGAGGCGGAGGGAGTGAGGTTGCAGCGGAGGGGCGGACGAGGGGCGAAACAAGAAAGCGACTGAAGGGACGCATGCGACCGATGCGAGAGACGGGAGACATGCGAGAGTGAGAGCCCAACGCTGCAGCGCCGCTTCGTCCGGCGCGCGGCGCGACGCACCCAGAGCTGCGCGACGCCCTCGAGCGCGCCGTCGCCCAGCCACCCCAGATGGCCCTCCGTCGCGAACTTGAGCCATGTCACCGCCGCCAGTACGGCGCCGCCAATCAGCAGCCGCTGCGCGTCGCCCACTCCCGCCCGAGCGCCCCCTTCCCCCGCGCCCATCCCCATCCACGCCGGACCTGCTCCCCCCGATGCTGATCTGCCCGCATCCCGCCTGCCCCTCTCCTCCCCCTCCTCCCCCTGCCACATGCCCCCCTCAGCGCGCGCTTGCGCGTGACTGCGGTCATCCCGCGCGCGCGAGGATCGCCGGCCGAAGCCGTTGAAGGAGGCCCGACAGCTGCGGGGAGGGGAGCGCGGGCGGGGGGAGGTTCAGGGCTTAGCGACGGCAGCACGTGGTCGGGCACGGGGAGGTGACAACGGGGAGCGAGGGTGGGCGGAGTGGGAGGAGGTGGGTATGGAAACAAGGCGACGGCGGCGACGAGACCGCCAATGTGGCCCGTGCGTGGGGGAGACGACGGGTGAGAGTGACACTTGGCACGGGGAGCAAGCAACGAGAGCGAGCAACGCACCTTATCGACTCGCGCGCTCTGGGGGCCGATAGGCCCGAGCGACCAGCGGAGTGAAGGAGCGGGAGCCGGGGGAGGAGCCCGCTTGGCGGCAGACGCGGATCACCTGCGCACCGCCGTTGCCCTCCCCGCGGAAGCAGCGGCAGGCGAGCGCCATGCGAGCCGCGAACGAGCACGTCCATCCGCAAGCTGCCGGCGGCGAGTCTGGAGGACGTCATGGCGCGATGCGACGAGGGGCGAGGCGGGTGAGAGGCGAAGTGAAGAAGCGTTGGTGAGGCGAGAGGAATGAGGTGAGGAGGTGCAGGGCTACTGTAATGTCGGATGGAGCAGGGTGGAAAACACATCAATGAGCAGAGCAGTGCAGAGGGCAGATTTGGGCTGGTCGGGCTGGGTGGGAGCGCGTCCCGCAGATGTGGAAGGGCAGCGCGGGGCAATGCGAGGGAAGGCGACCGTGACGTGGTCCCACGCAGATCTTCGCTGGCTGAGCGGGAAACTGGCATGCTCTGGAATATCGCCTGTACGCGCCGTTGAGAAGCCCCCCATATGTATAGTAATAAACCGTTTCAACATGCAAGTGACTATAAATAGGAAAACAATATCTCTCAATTGCTCCATATTTTTTTTCTGAAATCATTGCTGCGGTGTGGGGCTCACATATGAAGGCATGGATATACATCTGCTAATGCGTGTTGTTTTTCCTGGTGTTAGAGTAGGTAGCTAGGAATGATGAAACTATCGAGAGAGTTGTGGTACAAGAGAAAACCCTAAGGGGTTGTACCCTACATTGGCTACCCCAGTACAGCCTACATAATCTAGCATAACATATACAGTTTGACACACCCCCATAGGCAAAGTGGGGGAGAACAAGGGGTCACAAGACCAGTCAATAAAAGCAATGCAAGCTCAGGGTGGATCACAACGTCACCACACACGGAGCACAAGCAAAGGGGCCACAAGGCCAGTTCACATGCAGAGGTATATATGCAACAACAGCAATACAGTGATCACTACCTAGCAAGAGTAAACATGAAGGTATATATGTATAGATCACAGTACAACCAAAATCTACAGCAAGTGAGGAAACGTAGGCACCAGGCCTAGAGCAGTGCAGAAGCGCTGATGATCACCAGCCGGAAGGGCCTTGGTGAACACATCAGCCGTGTTGGACCGGGTGGGCACGTGAGCGACACGAAGCTGACCACGCTGCTGCAACTCTCGAGCAAGGAAGTAACGCAGAGCGATGTGCTTCGTTCTGTGCTCCAGTCTGTGGTCCTGACACAAGGCAATGGCAGCCTTGTTGTCGACGTACAGAACTGGAGGAGAACGAGGCCTCTCTCCCAAGTCGGTCAGCAGGTAGGTGAGCCAGCGTAGCTCCTGTGCAGCCATGGCTGTGGCGTAGATCTCAGCCTCACAACTGGAGCTGAGAACAGAAGACGAGCGTGTAGACCGCCAAGAAACAGAGCCAGAGCCAAGGCTGAACGTGTAACCCTGTAACGACCGCTGCGTAGCCAGGTCGTCAACCCAAGAAGCGTCTGAGTGCCCAGTGAGGACAACTGAGCTCCACCCTCCAAGCACGAGCCCCATGCCCGATGTACTGCACAAGTAGCGCAGTACCCTCTTCGCAGCATCCCAGTGCACCTTTCGGTGCCTACCAGGAGTCACGTAGCGTGCCAGAAGGCCAAGAGGGTACGCGAGGTCAGGACGAGTGCAGGTCATCAGGTACATGAGGCAGCCCACTAGCTCTGGGTACGGGCCACTCGGCTCTACGGACTCGTCCGAAGGTGGAGCTGAGAGCGAGTGACCGGTAGCCAGAGGAGTGGACTGTGGCGAGGACCAAGTGAAGCCGAAGCGCTGAAGGACCTGCTGCACCATGTGTGACTAAGTCAGTGTGATGGTGCGTTGTGCTCTGTCCCGGGTGATCTGCAGGCCAAGGTAGCTGCGCAGCTCACCCATGTCTGTGCACGTGTGTCTCTTCTGCAGCTCCGACTTCACAAGGGCGAGAGCCTCAGTGTCAGCAGTGGCAAAGACCAAGTCGTCGACGTACACGAGGATGTAGAACGGCGGCAACGAAGTGTCGGTGCGCAGAAACAGCGACGGGTCAGCAGTGGAAGGTGCAAACCCAAGAGCCGCAAGTGTCGTCCTCAGTGTGTCGTGCCACTCACGAGGCGCCTGACGGAGACCGTAGACCGGCCGGCGGAGGCTCCACTGGGTACCAGGAGGGAACGACCCAGTGAAGCTAGGTGGGCGGCGCAGCCAGATCTCCTCGTGCAGGCTGCCCTGTAAGAAGGCTGTGCTGAAGTCCAGAGAGTGAAGCTCGTAGTCACGCTGAGAGGCGACGTGCAGCAGTACCTGAAGAGTGGTCATCTTCGGGGTGGGGGAGATTGTCTAGAAGAAGTCAACTCCCTGTCGCTGACTGAAGCCTCGTGCAACGTAACGAGCCTTGAAGACAGGCGGAGAACCCGGCGGCCGCTTCACCCTGAAAATCCACATGCCATCGACTACGTTCGCCCCAGGAGGGGGACCTGCGTCGACGTAAGTGCCTGTGGACTTCCAGGATGCCGTCTCTGCGTCCATGGCTGTCTGCCACTGAGAGGAGTACTCACCCGTGATCGCCTCAGCGTAAGAGCGCGGGGTCGGGATGTCTGTAGCATCCGGGTCTCCCTCAGGGGCAAGCAGCATGGCCACGAGATGAGGCGCATCGGCTGCAAGACACTCAAAGTCCTCCTGCCTGTCCGCAAGGACGTCCGTGCCAAGAGCACACTCACCCCTGACGGACGGAGGACAGACAGACTCAGACTCAGCAACAAGACTAGCAGCGAAGTCTAGACGACAGGCAGCAGCAAAGTCAACAAGCTCAGAGACTAAGGCAGACGCAGCAGCAGACTCAAACGACGGGTCAGTGACAACAGTGGCGAGCAGACGCGTGACAGTAGGGTGAGCAGCACGAACCAGGTCAGACTCAGGGTCCGAAACGTCAGGCAGAGAAGACGCAGGAGGAGACGGCAGGGGAACACGCTGTGGAACAGAGGAAGGACGAAGTGCCATAGCGTGCGTGCCAGGGACAGGAGGTGGACGCTCACGAGGAACACGACTACCAGTGCGACGCGCGCGAACAGGCGAGGCAGGACGAGACGCAGGCTCACGGCGCTCTGTAAGCGAGTCTGTCTGCTCAGTGTAAGGAGAAGGAGCAGGCAGTGGTGTGCCGGGCTGTAACGGGAGGCCAGTAGAAGACGGGAGGCTAAGAACCTGGCGAAGCAAGGAGTCAGGCGGTGGCAGAGACGACGGTGACGGCGGAGCAAAGAACAGTCGCGGCGGCGCAGTGCTACCAGCACCAGTAGCTCCAGCGCCTCCATCAGCTCCAGAACCTCCAGCTCCAGCGCCTCTAGCAGCTCCAGAACCTCCAGCAGCAGCACCTCCAGCTCCAGTGCCTTCAGCAGCAGCACCTCCAGCCCCAGCGCCTCCAGCAGCTCCAGAACCTCCAGCTCCAGTGCCTCCAGCAGCAGCACCTCCAGCTCCAGTGCCTCCAGAAGCAGAACCTCCAGCTCCAGCGCCTCCAGCAGCTCCAGAACCTCCAGCTCCAGTGCCTCCAGCAGCAGCTCCTCCAGCTCCAGCGCCTCCAGCAGCAGCACCCCCAGAACAGGCACCTCCAGCCCCAGGTGTCAAACATTATATGTTTATATTGTGTAGGCTATAGTGGGTTTAGCCTTAGGGGGTACAACTTGTTAGGGTTTCCTACTTGTATCCCCCTCATTCCTAGTTTGATCATTCTCGTTCATCCTTAGTTTCTAACATGGTATTACGAGCCTAGGTCGTAACCTAGGACCGATGATTGGGCCCACCGATTCCCTTAGTCGCGCCCGAGCGCGCCTCGCTTAGTAGCGCCCTCGAGCGCCCTTCTCTTTTTGCTGCCCCGTAGCGCGCCCTCGCGTGCCCCTTGCGAACCGGCCCCGCCTAGCCTGCAAGCCCTAGCGTGCCCCGTGCGATCGGCCCCGCCCTCCCCGTACGCCCTAGCGTGCGACCCGCGCAGCCCGCCCTCGCGTCGCCTACCCCGCGCGCCCTTACGCGCCTAGTGCGGCCCCGCGCACTCGCTGCCCCGCGCGCCCTTGCGCGCCTCTTACGAACCGGCCCCGCCCCTCCTCGCACGCCCTTGCGTGCCCCGTGCGACCGGCCCATACCCACCCGCGCGCCCTTGCGTGCCCTTCGCGTACCGGCCCCGCCCCGCTAGCCCGCCCTCACGTGCCCCGTGCGACCAGGCCCCGCCTCCCTAGCCCGCCCTTGCGTGCCCCGTGAGACCAGGCCCCGCCCCGCTAGCCCGCCATTTCGTGCCCCACGCGGACCGGCCCCGCTCTGCCCTGCACGCCCTAGCGTGCCCCACCTCGAGTAGCCGCCGCCTAGCCGAGCCGAGCCGCCCCACCGAACCGCGTCGCCCGGCCCGAGCCGAGCCGCCCTACCGAGCCGCGCCGCCCTACCGAGCCGCGCCGCCCTACAGAGCCGCGCCGCTGCTGCTGTCACTGCTACTGACGCTACTGCTGTTACTGCTCCTACTGCTCCTACTGCTCCTCCTACAACTATGGCTAGCCCTGCTGTGCTCTCGTTCGATGCTGAGGGCCGCCCACTGAAGTTTGACACCGGGCTAGATGACTTGCACCTGTTCCTCCAGCTCACTGCCAAGGAGGATATCTCGCTGTACAATCACGCACTAGGCCACGCTGCTGCCCCTGCTGCTACTGCTGACAGTACTGCCCGCTCACAGTGGCAGACTCGTGACGCCCACGCTCGCTTCGCTATCCGCAACTCCCTGCCGGTAGATGAGCGCGAGCACTTTGGCCAGCACAAGACTGCGCAGGCACTGTACACTGCTGTAGTTGCACGCTACTCTTCACCTGCCTCTGCTACGCTAGGCCGTCTCTCACTCCCCTACCTGTTCCCAGACCTGTCCACTTTCTCCACAGTTGCTGACCTCATCACGCACCTCCGCTCTAGCGAGGCCCGTTTCCGTGCCGCTATGCCCGCTGAGTTTCTTGCCAAGAACCCCCCCCCCCCGCTGTGGCTGACTCTCTACCACCTCGTTACCCGCCTCCCTGACTCCCTTCGCGCAGTTAGGGACCACTTCCTCGCTCGCTGCCCCACTGAGCTCACCATTGACCTCCTCGAGAAGGAACTGCTTGCAGCTGAGGCTAGCATAGTCGCTGTAGGTACCTCTCGTGGCGACCCCCGC